AGAGATGCCCTCTCAAAAAAAAACAAAAAAAAAAAACATATGTGTCTGGGACAGTCATGCACCATGGGGTAGGTATTTACCTGAATGAGCTGAAATCTTAGGTCCACACAATAAAACCTGCACATGATTGTCTACAGCAGCTTTATTTGTAATTGCCAAACACTGGAAGCAACGAAGACGTCCTTCAGGAGGTGAATGGATGTGCAAACTGCAGTTCACACACACAGTGAACCCCCACACAGTGTTTTCCTTCAGTGATGAAAACAAAGGGGCCACCGTAAAAGGAGAGTAGCCAGGAGGCTCCCGGGGGTGGGGGACGGGAGAGACGGGGAGATGCTGGTGCAAGGGCGCGAGACCTCAGTTACGGGACGAGTAAGTTCTGGGGGTCTAAGGTACGGCACGGAGACTAGTTAATGACACTATATTGTAAATTTGCAGGAGAACAGATCTTCCGCGCTCTCACACACATGCAAGAGCTAAGTGAGGTCTGAGTGGTAATCATGTTACACACTAAACATATTTCAAATTATCAGACTGTATACTTTAAATATATACAGTTTTGTCAACTACAGCTCAGTTAAGCTGGGAGGGAAATGAACCAGCATGCCACAGACTTGAAGTGACTTTAAATGCAGACTGCTACAAGAAAGAGGCTTTGAGAAGCACGCTCACCGGCCCACACTCAGTAAGCAGGCACGGAGACAGAGAACAGTGGAGCGAGGCTCTAATGGAGGCCTTGCAGGATTGGGTGTCCTGTGGGCAGGCACACCTGGGGCACTGGGTGCCAGTAATTTGTTCCCTAGCACGTGAGTCCCTGCCCTGGTTCCTCATTGGCTCAGAACTACAGGGTTCACATCCTTTCCCAGACATCACCTAAGCACATTATATCCATGTTAGGCTTTCCCTTACATTTGTCTTAATTTTATTGGCAGGTTTAAAACTTATTTTTCCCAAATAGGTACACCTGGTCCTTGTCAATTCTCCCCCACCCCCGACTCCCAGCCTGAGCAACTTCCTGGCATATATTTTACCACGTGGCCTTTTGTCAATACTTTACTGCTAAAACGTTTAAACCTCCTGGTGGGAATAAATCACATTTAGATTTCATGCTTTCTCTAACAGTTCCCCCTCTTCTTTAGAATTTCTGATTTTATTCCCAGTAATGTATTTCAGCTCATACCCAGTCCTTTTTCAAACTTTTCTAATATATTTTTGTTCTCCTCTTTGTAGTCAAATTTATCTTTGACTACATGTACTAAATGTAAGATTATTTTGGGTGTATGTCATAGGTATTTGTTTATGGCTGCCTCTCACACAAGGGATGACCCAGCGTCCTGCAGCGGTTCCAACTCCGGCAACTGTAACGAGTGATGTTAAAACAGAGGCGGCCACACCTTTCCACCTTTCCATTTTCCACACCATCCTTCTAACCAGTCTGTAAAAGGGTCACTGATGCCAGGGTTTTCAGGTAATTCATTAGCTAAAGTGGTGAGTCCCTGTAGGGCTTTAGTAATAGTACCATCAGGGGCAGTATTATATGGGATAAAAATATACTTTCCTCCCAACATAACACAGACCCCTCCTTTTTCTGCTGACATCATACCTAACGCTGTCCTATTTTTCCAGGCCGTCCTGCTGGTGGCATCTAATTGGCTAGCTTCTCCTTGACAAGCATCCCTGGTATAGTTAATAAACCCTTGATTATAGTAAATGTAATTGATCCAATCTACATTTTTGTTGGTGGTGGACCACCGAAATAGTGCTGATTCAAACCCTGCAGCTATTTGGTTTTGAGCTTTAAATTCATTAGGGACTCCCTTAGGGACTCCTGTTGAGTCAAGGTACACATTTGAATCAAAGGATCTTTGTAATGCTCTGCGATTTCTATGAAATGTTTTTTCCCGTTGGGGTGTGGAGAGAACTGCCAGGGTAAATGGGGCAGACAGCTGGACCGAAGCGCAAGTCCCAGCCCAGCCGGACCACAACGAGTCACGCAGGTTTCTCTCCATGGTACCATCAAACATCTGCGCGGGGATGCGTGATTTCGAGAAGTTGCCCTCTTTAGAGACATTTAGGATGTGGGTACAAGTCAGCAAGTTCCCCACAGGAGTTGTGAAACCTTTCTTTTACCCAGAGAGGCATGAGGAGTGAGTCATCGTCCCTATGGAAAAGGAGGGGGTTGCCCTCGGGGCTGACTTCTTTAGTGCAGGAAGGAGTGGAGACAAGCCCTTGCAGGTCCCATCTCCCCAAGCGTCCTTGTCCTGACTTAGGGCCAACGTGCAGTTCACCCCAGTGGGGGCTGTGCCCCAGCCGAGAGGGAACGGGACCACCTGCACCTGTGGCTGTCCTGCAGCACATGCGTAACAATCACTTTTGTCCAAAGCGATTACTGAAAATTTGACCCATTCTACCCAGGTATTGGTGTCTCCAGAACCTGTCTCAATTTCAAGAGTCTGTTACACATTCCTTGCCTCTGTTCCAGTAACTAGTTTAGGGTCATTACGGGGAAGCTCTGGCTCATTATCTCCCTCAGGATCGGGGGTGGCACTGTGGGTGAAGTCTTGTCTTTGATTAAATTAAGACCAAACCCTCCCACGGCATCTATTCCAGTGACATCTGCACCGAGTCCATAAACACGACGAGCAATCACAGGGTCTGAGCCTAAGTCTCAAGGATTATGTGTGATTAACAAGAGGGGGGCTTACGCTGCCTGTCCTGGCAAGTCTCAGGCGGAATGCCTACAGCCACGCGGGGCTTTCCTGTTAACGGTTTCCCTGCTGCATGAGGGGCCATCCACCCTTGAAACTGGGCAGTCCACCAGGCACTGCTCCACCCTGGACACGGGGCCCACCTGCCCGTTCATCTGTCAACATGCGTCCATTCAGGACAGAGGCGCTTCCACCAGGCACTGCTCCACCCTGGACACGGGGCCCACCTGCCCGTTCATCTGTCAACATGCGTCCATTCAGGACAGAGGCGCTTCCACCAGGCACTGCTCCACCCTGGACACGGGGCCCACCTGCCCGTTCATCTGTCAACATGCGTCCATTCAGGACAGAGGCGCTTACTACCTCCGGAAGCTGTCCTTGGCCGTTTGGGTCACCCCACGGGAGTGGGGTTTGGGGGCCTGACGGCTTTGTGATATTGGTCACCAGCTTGACGGGATAACCAGGAGTTCCTTCCCATTCTAGGGCTCCCTGAGACTTGTCTGTAAAATATAGAGTTAGGAAGAAAAACGTTAACATTTTTAGGTTCTTTTTAGTTTTGGCTTTAAGTGTTGGTTAGCCGCCTGGGACACTTGCCAGTTCTCTGTTGTGTCCCCAGATCCCTCCGTCAGTTTCTTTTTCCTGGTGTAATGAGTCCAGCCCTCTTCAGCCGTCCTCTCTGCGGTTTCCGTGGCCAGGAGCACGGGTAGGGGGCCTTCCCAGCTGGGCTGGAGTCCATCTTCTTTCCAGGACTTTATAACACCAGGTCCCGGGGCTGGAAGCAGTGAGCGAAGGGCTCAGGTGGGGGCGTCTGGGCGAGGAGTCCTTTCAGCCTGAGAGAAGATAAGGTAGAAGAAGCCACGGCCAGCACATGTCCCCTTAGAAATGGATCCTTTGTTTCTACAGTGGGCAGGTCCGCTGCCCTCCCCAGGCATGGCAGCCCATACAGTAACTCATAAGGGGAAAGTCCTAAATCCTCTCGGGGAGCAGTTCTAATCCTTACGAGCGCTAACAGGAAGACAAGGCAACTTGGTTTCTAGTATTAATTTGGTTAAATGTTTCTTTTGAGAGTCTGACTCATTTTTCTACCTTTCCAAAGGATGGTGGCTGCAAGGGGTCTGGGCGCCCCACTGTGTCCTGCAGCGCTTCCCAAGTAGAATGACTCCAGCTGTCTGAGTCAACATTTTCCATTAACCCAAACCTAGGAATTACTTGCTCTACAAGTACTTTTATTACTGATCCTGCCATTGCAGTTGTTAATGGGTGGGCTTCTACCCATTCAGTGGGAGGGTCAACAATCACAAATATTTAAGCCTTCCCACTTTGGCATCCCGGTAAAGTCAATCTGGGTGCTGTGGAGGGGTCTTATTCCTGGGGGTCTCCCTCCAGGTCTGGCTTTCTCATATTCTTTTTATTAATTCTCTGGCACATTATGCAATTCCTACATACCTGTTTAGCAATGGTGTAAATACTAGCACACCCATAAACCTTTAGCAAAGCGTCACACCTTGCCTGGGGACCCCAGCGGCTCCCTCCGTGTGACATGTTCATCAACTCTCACAATAGGTCAGCCGATCATTTCTCTCCCATCTGGTAAATGGTAAAGTCTACCGCCCTTTCTCATCTCCAGATGTCTCACCTCCTGTAGCTTAATTTCTTTTCTTTTTGGAAAACTCTGGGATCAAGGAAATTTTAGGGATATTAGGAGTGAGACTCTAAAGTCTAATTTCATCTTCCAATGCAGCCTCTTTAGCAGCTACATCGGTACTTCTATTACCTGTTATTTCATAAGAATTTCCTTTCCAGTGACCATTCACATGCATGATAGATACTTCAGATGAATTAAGAGATTTTCCAGAACCTCCTTGATTAATTCCCCATTGTGGATAAAATGAGAGTTCCTGTGGCCAGGATTCTCACCTGGCCCTGGTTGACCAGCTCACTGCACACCTGTGGGCAATACATGGCTGTTGACTCTATCTAAAGAGCTTCCCCAGTGCTCTGGGCGTGACACAGTGGCAGGGCTGCAAGGCTGCAGGAGAGCAGAGCAGAGGCTGGAGTGGCGGCAGTGCTGAGGACAGAGGCCCAAAGGTCGGCTGTGTGGGACGGCTGTGCAGGATAGAGGGGCCCAGAGGACGACTGTGCAGGCAGAGAGGCCCAGAGGCAGAGACTGCCTTGCTGCATACAGACTTTCTCTGAGTGGACGGATTCTAGTGACTGACCTGCCACCTGGAGATAAAGTTGGGTATAACCCTTTCACCCCAAGAACATTTTGCTGTCAATTTTTTTGGTCACATGGAATATATAGCGAACTTGCCCGGGGCTGAAACCCATTGGCAAGACACCCATGAATTAGTTCCTTTCCTTTGGCCATTTTTTGTCTAAATTTTTCCAAAGGTATGGGCCACTCCATAGGCATATTTGGAGTCTGTAAATCATGCCCTCATCTAAAAGTAATTTTAAGGCTGATTAAAGGTAAACAACTCACAGGTTTGGGCTGACCAATTATTGGGTAATCTCCCCTTTTCACAGATGGATAATTGGTCTCCATTAATGACGGCACAGCCATGATGTCGTTTGTCCTCTGCAGCGGGGAGGGCTGTCTATAAACAGCTTCCTAGCCCCACCTAGCAGAGGTATTTCCCTTAAATCAGGCCTGACTTTAGTCTGATAGTCTAGCAGGTCCATGCAATTGTGGCTCAATTCTGATTGGCCTTCAGCCTCCCCTGCAGTGGAAGGGTGGTTGGATTGAGGCAGGCGTCTGGGGTTAGGATCAGGCCATCTTTTCAGGTAGAATAGTTTTGTATTTTAAAATTTAAGAATCTGTTTGCCAGCGCCCAGCCCACTGATTAAGCACGGCCCGGACCTGGTGAGAAGCACTGACCAGAGGGTTCCTCCAACAGCTAATTTCCTGCTCTCTTCTACCAGGAGGGCCGCGGCTGCGACGGCCTGGACGCACTCAGGCCATCGTCGAGAGACAGGGTCCGACAGTTCAGGCATGAAGGCCACCGGGTGTTTCTTTCCTCCCTAGGTTTGGGTCAAAACCCCTACAGCGGAACCTCGTTCAACAGTAACAAAGCGAAACGGCCTCTGACGCCAGGAGAGCGGGCGGGGGTGGGGACCAGGGGTCGCTTTAACTGCCCCGGAGCCTGCAGTTCCCCGGGGCCCACGGGACAGGGTCGGGCTCTCCCTCTGACAATTCGGAGAACAAGCTTCGAGCCCCTCCTTCCTCTTTCAGCAAACACTTTCTGAGCTGCTCTCAATAATTCCCTCAATAGGTTCCTCATTCCATTCATCTAATTTTTGTAATTTCTTAGGAATTTCTGGTCAACCTTTAGTTATAAAATTAACCTTTAAAAGACCCTGTTCTACCTGATTTTCTGGGTCACGTCCTGAATACTTTCTCACGTGGTCTCTGTAAAAACGCAGCTGGGGTCTCTTCCTTCTCCTATTGGGCTTCAAACGCCTTAATAAAAGTTTGAGATCTTGGGGCCAGTTCCGATTCCCTGTAGGATTTTCCCTTGAAGATCCTGCATTCCAGTTCCATCCCCGGGTCGTCATCATCCCACCCAGGTCCTGCACTGGGGACTTGGCTCTGCTGGCTGGACACCCTGGCCCGGGGGGCGTTCTTGTTCCCAAGCGGACACAGCAGCTCTCCGGGTCACCCCCTCTCCTCACCAGGGAACAGGGCATTCACGACGGACAGCCGCTGAGTCCAAGGCTCTACATTAGGTCCCAGGAATTGATCTAGTTGGTCCGCTAGGCCAAGGGGGTCTTCTGACAATGGTTTCATTTCCTTCTTGAAATTTCTCACCTCAGTGGCAGTGAGGGGGGCATCCACAAACTCAATTTCCCCTTGTCCCACTCTCTCTCAGTGGAAACATCTGGGGGTTCTAATTCCTTTCTAAGGTTAGAATAGGGGGTTGTAGGGGGCCTGGTAGGGGCCAAAGGCCCCTGGCTCTCAGATGAATCTGGGTCTCCTGCTTGATCTCCCCCGCTTTGTTCCCCTCGGGTCCCAGCATGACGATTATAAGGGGGAGGGAGCCCAGAACCGTCCTGGGGGTGGGTGTCTCTCCCTCCGGGGGGTCTCTCCCTGCTGCTCGGCCTTCCCTTCTCCAGCAGCGAGGCGAATACGGGGAGCGCCCTGGGTGACCGGCAGAGGGCGTGGGCCCCGTCCTCGGGTGGGCTGGGGGCTGCGTCACTCGCAGGAACTTCAGCCTGGCGGGGCCGGGCTTCACCAGAGCCAGAGGGCGGCCGGAACACCCACGGCTTACGGATCGGCTCTTTAGACAAAACAGCAACATTTGGTCTTCTGTTTGTCCTTGACCCTGGTACAGAGGGCGGCCCCCCAGTGCCGCGACCTTCACCCCAGTAGGCTCTCTGGGGGGGGTTTCAGGGGAGCTCAGCCGGCTCCCTTCCCTGGTTCCCTGGGCCTAGAACCTGTATTTCCCACCTCTCAGGAGGTCCCTGTGTCCGAGCCCCCTGCGTACCCGGCCCCCCGTGACGGAGGCTCCTTGCACACACCCGGAGGGATCCCCTCCGTCCGTCCCCGGCGGTTTCCCTGGCGGGAGATGGAACCGCGGGTCGGGACTCGACTCGCTTCGCATCTCGGACGCGTCCCAGCCGCACACACCCGACCCCGGGACGCGCCCGACCCCCGGGGCAGCGCTCACGGCCACCTCCCCTGCCTTGCCTGGTGCACGAGGACGCCTGGTCGCCGCGGCACCTGCGTCTTCTCCCGGGCGTCCGTCACGCTGTCTCCGCACAGCAGTCCCGGGTCCCCCCTCGGCTTCCGGGCGAAGGTGAGACGCCCAGGCAGGGCGGGCCGCCCGAAGCCGGGGGGACGCGTCTTCCCGCCCCGCGTGGGCCCCCACCTCGCACGGGCAAGAGGATCCCGAACGAGCCCCCAAATTCTGAGAAACACACTCACCGGCCCAAACTCAGTAAGCGGACACGGAGACAGAGAGCAGCGGAGCGAGGCTCTAATGACGGTCTTGCAGGACGGGGTGTCCTGTGGGCAGGCACACCTGGGGCACTGGGTGCAAGTAATTTATTCCCTGGCACGCGGATCCCTCCCCTGGTTCCTCATTGGCTGAGAACTGCAGGGTTCACATCCTTTCCCGGACGTCGCCTAAGCAAGTTATATCCATGTTAGGCTTTCCTTTACATTTATCTTAATTTTTTGGCTGGTTTAAAACTTCTTTCTTTTCCCAAATAGGTACACCCGGTCCTTGTCAATTCCCCCCGCCCCTCCCCCACTCCCAGCCTGAGCAACTTCCTGGCATATATTTTACCACGTGGACTTTTGTTAATACTTAACTGCTAAAACGTTTAAACCTCCTGGTAGGAATAAGTCACATTTAGGTTTTATGCTTTTTCTAACAAGGCCAGTCTGAAAAGGCTACATTCTGTAGATTTCCCACTACAGAACATTCCGGAAAAGGCCAAACTAGGGAGACAGTAAAAAGATCAGTGGTTGCCGGAGGTGGGTGGGGGCAGGGGGGAGTGTGCCGAGGGGAGGGGCAGCTGGAACTGTGCTTGCTCTCTGCTCAGTTACTCTGTAAATCTAAAACTACTAAAAACAGTCTACTAAAATAATAAGGATATGAGTCAGAGGGGCTGAGTGGCCAGCCTTAGTGGAGGGGGGCTCCGGCGGGACTCCGGGTCAGGAAGTGACCGAAGTGGGTGGCGAACCACCGCCAGGGAGACACGGGCTCCCCGGCCCAAGAGGATGCTGACAGAGGGAAGGTTTGCTTTCCAAGTTCAGTGCGAAAATTAGAGGCCTGGGGGGCTGAATGGAGTGTAAATTCAGCCCAAGGCCTCCTTTTTGTGCATCAGTGGGAACAGATCAAGTGGCTTTTGTGGGCAGAAATGACCTGGAATTCAGCACCAATGAGCAGCCCCCACTTGATGTCCGACAACGGTATCTTCCGTGAAATGTTTTCTAGTTTTAATGATTTCCCTTCTTCAGTTTCCAAAGTTATGCAAAGTATTAAACCTGTTGACAAACCTTTCTGTCAATTGCACTTTAGAAAGTCCAGGGTACCAGGAGTGCTACCAGAATCTGGGGGTCCCGGGAACAGTTCTCATCAGGTCAGCCCGAGGAGGGGGCTGCCATGGTGGGCAGGGCTCACTGCGGGCAGTGGGGAACCTCTGCTCTCTGCTCCCTGCCGCCACAGGCCTTTCCTCCAACCTCCTGTTTGTTCTGACACCTGTGCTGCGAATCCGCCTCAGCGCTGAGCCCCGAAGCGTGGATCAGCCGCTGGAGCAGTGGGTGGGATGCGGCTAGGCCTGCCACGCGGAAGACCCCTGCAACCCGATGCCTCAGGTCTGGGGCTGCTGTCCAGGTAGGATGGAGGCCACGACGTGGTTGGTGCCAAGGACCGGAGCGGAGCGCTCCCTCGGGGTCCTGACGTGGCCTCCAGAACCAGAAGGGCACACCTGCCCCTCCAAGTTAAAGGGAAACACAAAGCTGAATCAACAAGCACCAGCGGAAAGGAAACGTCAGCATCGGAGGGCAGCGGACGCGGGGTGGGGCCTGCTGCGGGTACTGTCCACCGAGTGTCACCAGCGGAGACCGTGAGCCCAGATGGCCCTGAGCTACTGAGCAGCGGGGCCAAGTTTGGGACTCCCTCGCTGACAGCCCGGGCTCCTCCGGGCATCTCGCTGGGGCAGTGGATCGCGTCCCCAGCACTGGCACCAAGACGGGCTGGTCAGCGGTTCCGCAGCCACTCAGGGTGGCTGGGGGTGTGTGCCTTCCTGTCTGTCTCCTTGGTCTGCGGAGACCTGCGTCCTCTGATCTCAGGTGGGCCTCTGTAGTGAAAACGGAAGTTCCGTGGCCAGGATTCTCACCGGACCCTGGTCTGCTCGCCCACTGCGCACGTGCAGTGCGCGCAGGCGCAGGCTCTGCGCACGTGTTGGCAAGGGACTATTAAGGGGTCTATTTAAAGAGCTCCCCCCAGGGCCGCGGGGGCTGTAGAGAGGCCTGGTGGCAGAGACTGGGGTGCTGCATGCGGACTTGCCAAGGGGCAGACAGGATTTTTGCGCTTAACCTGCAACCGTGAGAATAAAGCTGGGTATAAACGCTTTTACCCACAAGGCTCCGTTGTCATTTTTCGGTGACTGAAACCAAAGTGAACTTGTCCCGGGCTGATACCCTCAGGCGAGACAGGCGTCCTACCTTGACAGCGTGTTCCTGAATCAGGATGGGGGGCTTGCACAGACACGCACCTGTGTCTGCAGCATATGGGAAACATGAGCAACAAAGGGGCGCGAGGGGGTGCGCGCGCAGCCTGGTGCAGCCCCACAGCCCCTACGTGCCCACCACACCTATCATGGCGTCTCTGGATCGCTGCCTCCATCTGCGAGCGCTGAGGCATCCCGCTTTCTTTTCTACCTTGACATCATCTGCCTTTTTTGTTCCTTCTGATTTCCCTCAAATTGTGCATTGCAGGGTGTAGCTATCTATCCTCTCCGGGAGGGGACTCGACAGCCTGGCCCCTCCTGTAACCTCTCCTCGCGCTGTGCTCCGGCCCCAGGCACCGCGCCCGCTTTCTGGGGGCAGATTTACCGGCACTACCCCCGCGGTGTTATTTCCAGAGCAGGGTCGCTAGGGGAGGCCACCACCGACAGGTCAGCTCTCCTTGTGGAAACCTGTGCCGGTCCAGCACACAACCAAAGCCGAGTCGGCCTGCTGTTTCTCCATCCCGCGGCAGCACCGCCTTTTCTAATGCTGCGGGGGTCAGTGCCTCCAGTTTCTAAAATTGTTCTCCGCCAGGCACTCGGCATGTTTGTCTTCTGACTAGTCATTTAGCGCCTGGCTCCCCTGCGGGTCGTTTAACCGTCTGGGCGAGGGCAGCCCCATCTAGCAGCAACGCCTACCACCCGCGGGGCCCCAGCACCTCTGCCTTTACGTTCTGCTGCGGCCCCATCCCCTTTACCTGCACCACTTCTCCGATGGTCTGGTCCCTGCATTTTGCAGCCAGGGTGACCTCGCCCCACCTACCGTGAGGGCCCCGCTGATGCCCCGCCCCATCACAGACGCCGACACGAGTTAAGCCACCTGTGGCTTTGTTTTAAGCCATCTTCTGTGGCACTTGCTCTTCCAGTTTCTTTTTGGTTCCCCTAGGGCAGAAACGTCATGTCCCCTGTGGGAGGACAAAGGGGTTCTCGCAGCCCTGCGCTTTCGTAGCTGGTGAGCTCTGGCTGATTTCATTTCACGACAGGACACTGGTGATACAAATACTTGAAAATTTGAGAAAGTGCTGCTGTGTGGGGCATGTATAGGTAGCAAAGACCTTCAGGATCAAACACACAGTTCTTTCGACATCAGCACTGGCTTTGCCGCCCCCCTCCCTGTGGTCTGGCACTGGTGCCTGTTCCTCTCCGAGTGGCTGATTTAGCCTCAGAAACCCCATCTTCCATGATCATGGGAAGAGGTTACTCGGTGTGGAAGTAGTGGCCACTCTGGGAAGGAACTAGAAGCACTCCCTGCGGCTGAGGAGGGAAAAGAGGCACGGCTTTCGGTCCTACTGAAAAAGAAGGAACTGACTGCCCCGCTCCTTTGGCAAGAGACTAAAGGGAAATCCTTCCCATTCCCAGTCAGGTGCTCCCCTTACCTAATACCTAATATTTTTATTCCCTGGCGGTTCCTCCCCAAGCCCAGGGCCCACAGCGCGGTTTCTGGGCATCGAGATGAGAAGGCTGGGTTTCCTTGGACGCAGCGCGGCACATCCCAGGCCGCTGTCCAGAAGCCGCTCAGCCGGGCCCCAGCGGCGTGCTTTCAGGGGCGCTGGTGGAACAGCGTTTCCACGCCCAATCCACAAATGCGAGATGCCATTATATAGCAAACAAACAAATTCGACTGGCTCAATTTTAGGCAGAAATCAGGAAACGGAGGATGCAAGGGAGCAACAGGAACACATTTCTCCAGGCACCGGCGATTATAGATGTTCTCTTATTTCACACTAAGGAGGCTCCTCTTGTGTGTGCACACAGCACAGTGGCCTTCAGGGGAGGCGATGACAACCCAGACGGTCTCTCAAGAGACAGAACTTTGCTTTTAGATGAGAATTACTGTTGTTCACATTCAGCCATTAAAGGCACGCATTTGTGGCCCCACACAGAAACACTGCTGTCACAAAGCTCCGGGACGCAGGTCTCCCTGGTCTCCTGTGGCTGAGAGCTTTCCCCTTCCCCCCAGAACCGAAACTTTAGTCATTTCCTTGGGGGCAGAGACTGTCCTTGGCCCGGCCCAGTCGCTGGCTCTGCACCAGGCATGGTGGGTAGTTGGCTGAGAACAGATCATTAAGTCAGTGTGAAGCCCAGCCAAGGAAACCCACGTGATCCACTCTTCCACTGGGTGACCGGCAACTGACAGCAGGCAAGTCTCTTCCCTCCCGCTCCTCGCCACGGCCGCCCTTATTCCCTGTCCGCGTCCCTGAGGGCGGCGAGGCCGAGTGCTGGCCTCAGCTCCCTGGCCGGCCCTACCTGAGAACGTTCTGCTCTCCACGCTCGCTCAGCCGTCACGCCAGGAGCTGCATTTCCAAAGAGCCCAGCCGCGGGCGTCTCTGCCTCCCCCCAGCATGCGCACTGCAGCGGTGGAGCCTGGACACCGGCACCCCTTCCAGGCCTGCGCGTGGCCCTCTTGGTCTTGGTCTACCACCTCGCGGTCTCTCCCAGTCCCCTCGGGCCTGTTTGCCCAGTCACCCAGTGATGTTGCCCGAGAAACGTCCTTACCCCAGGCTGGCACCTGACGAGGCTCAGGGGCATGGCCTCAGGCCCCCCCAGTGGAGGGCATCACTTCAGCTTCTGTCTTACTTCCTTGCGACACAGGCCGCTTCCCACTTCACCTGAAGGTGCAAGTCATGGGCCATCACCTCCCTCCACTTCCTCCTCTCCACCTGGAGAGACTTCTGTCTTGAGCTGTCCGTGGCACTTCTCAGAGAGAGCCCTCATGTCCCGTGCCCAGTGACCCCCCACCCCGGGAGACCCAGCTCTGCCATCCCCTGGCACCCAGCCGATCCCCCCCCCCTCGCCAGACCACACAGGGCGGAGCTTGTCCTCCACAGACACCTGTCCCTTCACTGCTGTGCTGCGGAGACACCCTCCCCCAGCACCCACACTCGGGGCTTCAGGGGCGTCTGCACCTGACTCCTGCGGGATCTGTACACACTGTGAGCTGGGTTTGGCTTCTGTTCCTCTCAGAGGGCCGCCCTGCAGTCACAGGTCAGCTCTGAACACTTTGGTTCTGATTAAATACAGTGAACCAGGCCAGCCAAGACCCTGCCAACTGGAATGGCTGCGCTACCGCTAAAGCAGGCTCATATTAAATGGAAAAAATATTACTAGACTGCCATGTCTAATAAGGGAGAGATTATTTCAATTGCTTTATAAAGGATGGGACAATAACGAAAAGTGGCAATCTCTAAAATGGAAAGCAAAGGCAATCCTCCCATGAGTGTTTCAAACACCCAGGAGCAGCTCCAGGTCAGGTGGCATCAGTTCATGCCCTGAGGAAAAGTTTTGTACTATTTCCCCTCTCAGATTAACTGGCTGCAGTTCTTTCAGTGAGCAGATATTTTAGTGCCACCCTGCAACAAACAAATTAAAAACAAAGGAAAAGGCATTTATGAAGATTTGCTATTTACTATTTGTTTTGAGGTATTATGCCAGAGACTTAAAAATATTTTTATCATCTTCACCACATGCAAGACAAATATAATGGTTCCACTCTGCGGCTTAAGGTCCAGAGCACAGACTTAGGCACAGAGCAGTACAAGGCGGGCCCAAAGCCAGCTGCAGGTATGAGCAGAGGGCAGGTTCTGAACCCAGACTGATGGGCTCAAAGCCTACATGCTCTTTCTATACCAACACACCAGAAACATTTCTAATATTTTTGTCTTGTAAGTAAGTCGCTGTATGAAGCCCAACACTGACAAGAACCAATCAAGAGTCTCTAATATACTCACGACCTTTTGGTCTGAAAAAAGAGGCTGCTAATTACAGCTGCCCCGGCAGTGGAGCTGCTGAAAAATATTTTTAAGTCTCAGAAGAGGAGAGGAGATGCACCTGGGACTCCATCAGGCCTCCCGGCACTGCCGTCTGACAGAGCACGGACACCCCCCTGAGCTCCAGGACGGTACTTGCGGCCCTATCACTGGTCATTGTAAGTGAAGTCAAATCAGAAGACACACTTATTTGGGAAACACTGTAATGAAGGACTAGGCAATTTCATATTTTCACATACGGAATTCCAGTTAAGTCATACATGCACAGTACTATGCTATTTTGGTAACAAAGGGACACAATTTAATGATTCTAATATTTTTTGTAGTTTTCTTTTTTTACAAGTCAGGTGCCATAAACATTCAAATAATCCATCTTTTAAAAAGTACGTTTACAACATCCAAAGAATTAAGATGAAATATAAACCTTTCTACTTACAGTTTTTATACAGATTAACCAAATCACAAATATCACAAATAAATGTTAAACTGTAACAATATAATGAATAAAACATTCAGATTCTTAATAAAATCCTCCTTTGACATTTTTTTTAAACCTACCATCATACTAAATAATCTATGCCGAGAGTTTTGGGGCACAATACCAAGAAGGCACCAAGAGTACAAAGCAGACACAAAGCGGTTCCATCGCTCTCTCGAGCGCCCTCTGTGGGTACACAGCACAAAGACGGGACCGCGCAACCGCGGACGAGTCCCTCTGGAGTCCCAGGCGTTTTGATCCACTGTGCGGGGTGGGATTACAGTGAGAGAAATCACACATTTACTCTACTGTTACATGCTTCTCATCTGCACTATAGGAGTATCGTATTTCAAACCCCAGCAGAACAATTTTAAAGCACAAATGCTTTAAAAATGTGTAAGCAAAAGGATTGCTCAGCTCTTCAAAGCCACTACATTTACAAAAATATTTCCCTTAAACTTGGGATTGCTCCAAAACATTGATTTACAAATATAAAAGTATTACAGAAGGACCCAAAGCATGTGAGCATACGTATGTGTGTATTAACATACTGTTACCACTCTATATAAAAGTTACCAGTTTAAAAACCATATTAACATATAAGCAAATAAAGGTAGAACAGTCTACTCTGGACGGCCTGAATATGACTTGGCACATGGTGTGGGGAATACGCCTGTGTGACACCTCAGAGACATCCACCTAGGCGTCTCTGTGGCTCCTGAAAGCTGACAGGTCCCTCCGCACGCAGCACCGAGGCCTGCAGCAGGAGGAATTTCTGTGAACACACCACACACTGTGTACTGCTCACAAACACAATCACATTCTTTTGCCTACGCAGCAAAATGGTCTGTGTGCCTCTATCAGCTTTGAAGACTTGTGTCAGCACAGTTGCCATGAGTTCCCTCAAATCCATTCCACTGTCTTGTTAGGTATTTTGTTTTATACTAAACCAAAGGATTGGAATGTTCCAACAGGAATTTTTTGCTTACATTTTAGACACCCAAAAAAGCCATTAGTCTGAAAACTTATCCGAGCATACTAATAGTGTAGGCATTTGGTACCATCAGAATGAATTTACATGACCTAATCGTACATTTTTAGAGATGAAAGAAGGTCCAAATGATGAGTCCATCACAAATAATAGCCGGTACCTTGGGTATGACAATCCTCTAACCTGCTGAACTGAGCCTTGGTGTGATTAATAAACAGCACACAACTTCATGGCTCTGGTGAGTCTAGAATGAGGTTAGTGGTTACATGCCAATCTGACCACGATACCAGCAAAAGGGATGGGAAAAGCCCATAGTCCCCAGATATTAGTAACCAAGGCTATGGCTTTCTATCTAGAGGACTAACAATAATACTAATATTCCACTTCAACAGAGTAAAACTGAAACTTATCAATGTAACAAGTGACAGTCAAATCTCTGTATCATGTCCATGCTGTGTGGACCTTCATATGGCAGCTCTGTGCATGGAGGTGAAAATCATGGGCTGTAGGGAAGGATCTACAGGTGGCCCTGACTTCTGAGGAGTCAGCCCTCCTTCTTCAGCCCATGCAGTGTGGGCACAGGGACCCTGGAAGGGGCGTGGGGGTGAAGTGATGCTGGGCGGCCCCTCCCGGCTTTCCAGTGTGCCCAGAAGCAGCTCTGGGGCTCACAGGCAGGCCCTCTTTATAAAGAACCAGAGAATTCAACCTGAGACATGTGGGCTTCTTCAGAGTTTGACATACTATTTTAGACCTCTTGATTTGAATAAAGGAATGTGTGTGTCCAAATTGATTCTCTGCTATGCAGAGGGGAAAAAGGACCCCACTGAAATGCTTTCTAAACCATCTTAGGTAAACTGGCAGCACAGGGGCAGTGCCCAGCTGGGAAGGGGAGGCCTGTGGGCATCTCCCTGCTAAACACAAACCGAACCTGACCGTCCATTTGGACAAGCTGATCCAAAGGAAATCACCACCAAATCTTAGCATGAGTATGAAGATAGAAGATGTACATTTATTTCCATGAATTACAAGTGCATTTCTGTTCATATTAGCAGGCAATCTTTAGATAACCCATTCTCCATTGCTGTCAAAAATCAAACATGAAAAAAAAAGGACAGCTGAGAAATGAAAAGCTAAAAATAGAATTATTTTTCCTAAGTGATCTGCTGGATAGCATTTTCCGTGGAACACAACTCAGAGGTAACAATAGATTTTTAGTTTCAGTCATAGGCATGTGGCACTTGGACAGTCATCTCCGCACAGAAAGCTGTAACAGTCATGCGAGGGTACAGTAATTACTGAACAAGGCAAGTTTCTCACCACACAGAGCAGTGGGGGGGTCAAGAGGAGGCACTGCACTGGGACAGAACACCAAGTCAATGCCACAGTGCACAGCGGCGGGAACAGATACTTTAAGAGATCAAGGAGAGAGGGGATAGAGCTCTGAACATGACTCAGTGCTAGCTTTTCTGATGGTCTCAGCTCAGCAGTATCAAGCATTGTGGAGCGCTTGACGACAGAACAGTGCCTCATGTCATGAGCTCATGAAGGCTTTATTACAAACTGTTATATCGTAGGTGGAAAATGAACTTGAGATGCTGACATGCTGTAGGAGGGAAAAGAATTGTACACTTTCTCATTTAAAGACGCAGGGTTCCTCTCTAAGTCTGCAGGCATTGAATGTGCCCACCACATGAAGAGGCTTGGGGTACACACATGTACCCGTGCACAGGGCTCTGCTGTGACATCGGGCAGCCTGCTGTGACCTTTGTACTTCTCTCACTAAATCCTGAGTGAAGCTGCCATTTTAAATCTTTTTACTGAATCTTGCAAATACTCAGTACTGCATGTAACACATTTTGACAAATGTGTTACACCTCCATAAATGGTACAAGTAACCATAGTAAATCTACAGATGGTAATTGCAGTATTTCTTCCTTTTATTTAGAAAAATGGCTGACTTTTTAAAAAGCTGGGCAGAGCACATACCTTAAATGTTAGTGACTAATGTGACTTGACAAAGGAGGCTGACAAGTGCTCCGAAGATTCCCCAGACTGGAGCACTTGCAGAAGGCTGCAACGCCATCCCAGGTGTGTCCACAAGGCCCGCTCTGGGCAACCAGTTATGGTGAAAGGGCGAAGTGCAAGTAGGGGCTGTCACTGACTTAAAGTGCCCTAGGTAGCAGCCTTCCCTATCATAAAGTGACATGCCAGTGACGAGAGAACTTGGAAAGAACTCTCCCTGGTGACTGCATGGGTCAGTGGGCGTCACATGGGAAAGGGTTCAGGAGGGAGGAACCACTGCATCTTTCAAACCAGAAAGCGGTTAGTGACTAAAGCAACAGTAAGCAGCAGGTGCTCTGGGAGTACATACTGCCACAGGTCACCAGTGGGTGACACACGGGGGTGCCAGGAACAGTTCTCTGGACTGGAGGAATTCTTTGAAAGCATAGAAGCCACAACTACCAGAAACCGCCCCTGCAAATGGCTCACAGGAGTCAAGGTGGATAAGCCAAGACGGGCTGGAGACAGGACCAGGGTCAAGAACTGGGGAGAACATCGAAGTCTGAGCACGTCCAGTCCTCTGAGCCCTTGTCCTATTGAAAAACAAACAAACCTATGTGTTAGGAGTGAACCACGTTACATCATCATCAGTAGCATTAGGAAGATGGACAAGTGAAAAGAATGAACCACATTACAATACCACCAATGGCAAGCTTAGGAAAAATGGAGAAGTGAAAAAAAAAGGAAAAAGGAAAAAACGCTCCTGCAAAAGGTCATCTCACTTGAAACCACGTGAGCATGTGGAACGCAGGGCAGTTCTGATGGGGTGGGGCCCTGCCTTCACTCGGCAGACCCCTCTTCTCAGACCAGTCCCAGAGGACATCCCCTTGTGGGGAAGACGCACCATGTACGGCGGGGGAGCTCAGTGCTTCCAGGTGCCTTCCAGTAACCGTGTGATACCCTCACCCTCCACTCCAACAGGCAGACCCAGAACTTAGAGCTCTGCAAAATAATACGTGCATATGCAACAATTCTTCTGCCTTCACCCATCCTTAGCAAGTCTCTCGCTCTGATGACCAGTAAGCCAAAATCCATGAAGTGTGTTTTTAGTAATGCTCGCATTTTCTCAGATGGTGACAAAACAGGATAAGCAAAACAAAGTGCTGGGTGGAAGTGTGAGATTGGTGGGTCTGAATTCTGGAAAGGGACAGAGCTGAGGCATGATTCCCACAGGCAGGAAATGGATCTGAGCACCCAGATCAGAGGTGATCTGACAGCTATTTTCCTACCAAGCTTTCAAGACAGCACCCTGAAAGGCAGCAGGTGGCAACCTTCACTCATTTTCTGCACCTGACAGGATCTACCCAGCTTTCCAGCTATCTGTATATGGGCTACTTGCAAGAGGTCCACCAAGACTGTCACACTATGAAAGAGCATTTTCCCTTCATTATCCTAACATCTCTGATTTATTGGGGAAAATTATACTCTGAATCAAATACACTCTAGCCATTTATAAGCAAGTAATTCTCATGAGTGTCAGAATCCCCTGGAAGGCTTGTTGAACCAGACTGCTAGGGGTGGGATACACATGAACCGCACTTTTCAGAAGGTGTCCATTGTATGTAGTGAATTAGCTGCACCCCTAAATTCCTATTAGATTTGTACAATCCTCGGGAGAAGTGAAAACCTTACCACTCAGATCATGTTCCATGTTCTTGGTTCTGATAAGGAAGCATGGCTGAGATGGCCGGGAGGTAACCAAGTATGTCAAAATACAAACGAAACAAGTCTTTCCTTTTGGAGACTTAGTGTGTGAAATGTTTGCTCTTTTCACAAAGCACTTTCAGACAGATGGCTTTTGTCTACCATTCAAAAATCAGTGCAGGAAGGATGGGTGTTATGGCCCAACTGTGTGATGGGGAGACTGGCTCAGTGATGGAAAATGACCTCCATTGAGATGTATATGCTATTTTGAACTTCAGCCAAACTTACTGCTGGCAGGGAAATTAAAAACTTCCCTAAATTAGTATTATTTTTAACGAAACCAAAAGGAACAAGAAGTTAATGCTCCTAGTAATCCATAAATCTGAGAAAATTTACCAACAAGTGGATAGGAAGAAAGGCACCTACCCCCCCCAACCTCTCAGGGAAGACGACTAAGGAGGGGGTCTGGGAAGGATGAGGTTCTGAGCCCGAGGAACAGACAGCTTGTCACAAAGTATTAACTACATTCACACCCCCTCTGAACTCTTATATAGGCCATTTCTAAAATTGACCTCCTTTAAACATAATGAACATACTTCACCCTTTTAATACCACTCAGGGCTGCCTGTACCTGACATCAGTAATGCCTGTACCCCCTGCAAGTAGGGGACACATGGGGCTTCTCTGGAAGAGTCTTTGCTGTCCCCGCCACCAAAGGAGTCCCCCAAGGCTGTGATCTGTGTTCTGTGTGTGCATGTTTTCCAGTTCTTTCCTACCGTGGCCAGGCAGTCAGCATCACCTTTCTCCAATGCCCCAGTATGTTACAGCACTTTCCCCTCCCAGGCTCTCCGATTTCTAGCTTCTCATCTCTTGGGTGTAGGCTGAGAGCTCAGTAACAATGCTCTGGAGCACCGGGTATGAGTTCGCAGACCTTTCCCAGGGTGAAAATCTACTCAAAGGCAGGGTGGTGAGCTTACACGAAAATGGAATTCTTGGTCTAAGGGACCTGGGCCTTGCCTGGTTTTGCCACTGATGCACAATTTTCAGCAAAATGCTTAAAGACACACATTTTGTCTCCTCAATCATAATAAACATGGGCTCTGTGCTGATGTCCAAGAATGCTGCTGTGATCAACATGAAATGTTTATGAAAGAACATGACCCAGAGTCTGATGAACGCTCCCAGCTCCCCCTTCCCCTGGATTCACCTTTATATTCTAGACAACTAGCTTACAATCAGTCTAGATGCTGGCAACATCTTTTGAAATGTATGACATAAATATGATGGACTGATGGGTAGATGAAGGAACAAATGGATAGACACGTGAAAATGCAGGTGTAGTTAAGATGTTAATCACTCAATCTAGATGGTAGGAATATGGGAGTCTGTAAAACACAATTTTTCCAGAACAACTGAAAATTGTCACTAAAAAATTGTTGGAAAAAAAAAAAACTGTTGGGAAAAAAATCAGTCTGTAAGCAGGTACTGTGCCTTCTGTGCCCCTGGAGAAAGTGAACTAAACGTAAAGCAATGGTCTTTGCCACCCCTCTCCACTGGTAACAAGCCCCAGTCCTAGACTCAGAACTGGGGGGTCCCCAGACCTGTCTGCTAACTAGGACTTCAGGAGGCATCTCATCAGCAGCCCCATGTGCAGTGCAGGGGCACCCTTGCCTTTGGTCTCCCCTGTGACTGTGGCACTGCCCTTCTCCTCCAGCAGCCTGGCCAGTTGTCCCATGGTCCCTGCTCTCTGTGGTCCTCTGACATCCTGGCTGCTCCAGAGTCACCTGCCCCGAGGCATCAGGACCAGAAACTGCCTGTGAGGAAGAGACGAGCTCCTTGGAAAGCCTGGGCTTCCCAGCCCCACCCCGCCGGGGCTTCCCCGCAGCCTGACTGACGTGGCTGGCTCTGCACTGCTGAGCCCTGCCCCGACCAGCGCTCCACAATGCCGTCCCTCCTTGGTCTCCAGGGCTGTAAACACCCCAGCACAGCACCCACAGCACTGAGCCTGACTCCCTACCTGGCGATCAAACTGCTGGAAGGCAAAGCCTGGGTCTTATTCATCGTTGCTTCTCTCCTACCTGGCACTGGTAAGTACTCAATGGTGATCAAATGAATGATGAAAATGATAATTATGTCAACCCCAGATGCTCTTTGACACTAAAAATGTGCACGATAGTTATGTTTCTATTTGTCTACTACTAAACTGTGAGCTCCTTTGAATCTGGGTTCAGGTCTTGTTTGTTCTGCACATCTGGGGTATCTACCACATAGGTGCCTGGCCCAGAGTAAGTGTGCAGTATGTGTAAACTCAGGGAAAAAAATGGGGAAAAACGGAGGCTACCCACCAGCTTCAGGAAAATGACCTGTTAAAGGGATTGTGAAAGAAGAAAAGCAACAAAACTTGCTTAGCTCAATCTTAGGGGTCAGGGGTCAGCAAACCTGTTCTGTAAAGGGCCAGAGAAAACTTTATTTACAAAACCTGGCAGCAGCCGTTCTAACCTTGTACAGACACAGGGAAGGGAGAGCATACTTTTGGAGAGACAGACAATTGCTCCCACTTGGAACTCCAAGCAAAGGGGCCAGGAAGGAAGCCCCAAGGGACACATGTTAAGGTGTGAAAGGGTTGGGCCCTGCGGACTAACCTTCTGTATGCAAGTGACCTTACCTTTGGTCACTTAGTGCAACAAATGCTTCAACAGATTGCCACACCCATGAGGCATGAAAAATAAATCAATCCAACTCTTGCTGGACTGTCCTCCTCAGCCCCCTGCTAGCGCCCTAGATGACCCCCTTGTTTTACTGGAGTGCGCCCACCACCCTGTAAGCGCGTGCTTCTTCCACCTGTCCCTTGCTTTGAGTGTGTCTCCCAGGCCATGTCTAGTGCCAACACCAGCCTAACCAAGGGCTCCGGGTTCCCTCCGCTCCCTCCACAGCCCAGTGGTGAGGCTCAGCAACCGAGAGCCTTTCGGACCTTTGCCTTCCCTCCACTCACAATGTGCACGATAGTTATGTTTCTATTTGTCTACTACTAAACTGTGAGCTCCTTTGAATCTGGGTTCAGGTCTTGTTTGTTCTGCACATCTGGGGTATCTACCACATAGGTGCCTGGCCCAGAGTAAGTGTGCAGTACGTGTAAACTCAGGGAAAAAAATGGGGAAAAACGGAGGCTACCCACCAGCTTCAGGAAAATGACCTGTTAAAGGGATTGTGAAAGAAGAAAAGCAACAAAACTTGCTTAGCTCAATCTTAGGGGTCAGGGGTCAGCAAACCTGTTCTGTAAAGGGCCAGAGAAAACTTTATTTACAAAACCTGGCAGCAGCCGTTCTAACCTTGTACAGACACAGGGAAGGGAGAGCATACTTTTGGAGAGACAGACAATTGCTCCCACTTGGAACTCCAAGCAAAGGGGCCAGGAAGGAAGCCCCAAGGGACACATGTTAAGGTGTGAAAGGGTTGGGCCCTGCGGACTAACCTTCTGTATGCAAGTGACCTTACCTTTGGTCACTTAGTGCAACAAATGCTTCAACAGATTGCCACACCCATGAGGCATGAAAAATAAATCAATCCAACTCTTGCTGGACTGTCCTCCTCAGCCCCCTGCTAGCGCCCTAGATGACTCCCTTGTTTTACTGGAGTGCGCCCACCACCCTGTAAGCGCGTGCTTCTTCCACCTGTCCCTTGCTTTGAGTGTGTCTCCCAGGCCATGTCTAGTGCCAACACCAGCCTAACCAAGGGCTCCGGGTTCCCTCCGCTCCCTCCACAGCCCAGTGGTGAGGCTCAGCAACCGAGAGCCTTTCGGACCTTTGCCTTCCCTCCACTCACCTGTATCCACTGCTCGCCGGCACAGCCCTAGTCCAAGCCGACAGCCTTTCGGTTTGGAAGCTCACAGATTTGTTCTGAGTCCATCTCCTACTCAGGTCTTCTCCTCCAACCTTTCTTGCTATGGTTTCTGACTTTTTCTGAAAGTACCATTTTTTGTTCCCCAAACGAGAAGAGCCAATGCCCTCCTAGTCCCCAGTCCCTGCCTGGCTTTCACAGCCCTCTGAGGCTGAGCCAGCCAAGTCTGTTCTCCAATCCTTTCTACCCTTCCCTTGTCCCCTGCTTTTAAAGATGGGGCGGGAAGCCTGTCACCTGCACTGCTTGACTTCCTTGGTGCCTGGCTCTTGATGAGATCTTGCCAATGGCAGGCACTGACAAGAAAAGCCACGTTTCCTCCTTTTTTTCCTGCTTCTAGTGACACATGGTTTTTTTGGGGCCTCTGAGACACCTCCTCAGCAGTGGTGATGCTCCAGTGGCTGCAGGTCAGTGGGCACTGGCACCCCCTCCTTGTGCTTATGAAGCTAACACCATTTTCCCTTTTGCTCCTTTAGCAGAAGCCGGGGAATAGCTTGCTGCAGTCTCTAATCTGCAGGCAAGCCCACACTCTCCTTGTCCCCCAGCCCTCCAAATGCCTTCTGACTGGTTACATGCCATCTGCTGGAAATACCCTGAGCAGCTTCTGCTTTAAGCCTGGGTGATGATACCCCTCAGCCTGACCCATCACCTCCAGACTCCAATGGCAGGAGAGACTGGACTAGAGACCCAGCTAATGAACGCGCACCACTGAAGAATCTGCCCTTTCCTGACTCCACTCGTGGGTCTCCAGGTTCACCTCCATGGTCACCTGTCTGCGCTCCGCACCAGAAACTCTACCTGCCCAGGACACCACTGGCCTCTCCTAAGCCGCTCTGTCCAAAGCATGCCCCCAGCAAGCGCTTCGGCCCCTGGTCATCATTCTTTACTTCATGCTCACTTTCTACAGAGTCCCAACACAAGCCTCACTCTCTCCTCTTTCCATGCCTTCTCTAAAATCAAGATCTGCACTTCCTTTCCTTAAACACTTAAAAAAAAAAATCTTATGAATATCACTGCATTGTCCACCACACCACACTGTCCACAACTTAAGTTCACAAAATTTCCTTCCATGCATGCCCTTGGACATCCCTCTTTCTTTTTAGTAACACTGAATTTATATTTTCTCTCTTGCTAGGGTTTATTGTATGGTTAAAAGTCAAGGTACCTGACGAATTTAAGATCTGTATCCTGGCTGGAATCTAGCAGTCTCTTCAAATATGAGTTCTTTGAGCTTTTCCTTGGGCAAGTCATCCAATTCCATGTCGAACTTGAATGGTGCTTCAGCGATGGGCTTTCAGAGAAAACAAGCATTTAGTAGATAAAAGTTGTTATGGTTAAGATGGTCATTTACTGATTCATAAAATAACTTACAGCTTAGATTCTGAAATTTATACCCAGGACCGCCGTCTACTGAAACCGAGGGCTACAGGCTGTAGGCACTTGGCTCACGCTCCGGAAAGCCCACTTCTCACAAGCTCAGTAACAGACAGGGAAACGAATCAATTCCAAATGTTCCGAATTTATCACTAATCCCAGAGTAATTTTCAATGTTTTAAGGCACTAAATGTTGAAATAACAGAAATTTGCTATTGTGTGGTTGATGGTGATATGTTTGTGTAATCAAACTCATGATACTCAAATAAACACACTCGATTGAATACATTACAGAATCTAAATGAAGAAATATTAGGGAGCTGTTAAAAATGAAGCTGCAAGAAGATAAGTATCATGGAAAAATGTCCATACTTGGTGTTGAACAAAATTAAACCTATTTAAAAAATTCAGATATAGGAATGTAGGATTGGGAAGGAGATAATCCAAAATTTTAACAACTGTGTAACAAGTATACAAAGTGATCTTATGCTTTTCTGCAAGTTCTCATTTTCATTCTTCAGTATACTCTATAATCAGAAAGCTATTTAAGTACATATTTAAACTATCTAAGTCAAAGAACCCTCATATATACTCAAAGACAAAAATTGCAATGAGTTAGTATTGTTTACATTTTGGTTTTTAAGTACCCTCAGGCTAACACAGTGTTACAGAACTAGCCTGATAATGGTGCCAGCTGTCTATCAGTGGATGCCTACCAGTTACTGGCAGGCCCAGTTCTCAGCCACACTAAGCTCTGTCCTCTTTAAAGGGGGAAAGGATTCATATACATGAGAACATGAGAGAGAAACAAGTAGTGAGCTTTCCCTGAAGGAAGGCTCTACGTGGGAACATACTGGATGTCCCACACCTTACTTCCTTCTAATTCTCCCAAACCCCACTCGGCTTGGGGTACCATACCAGCTCACAGGGCCAGTAAGAGCCCCAAACCTTATACCCTCACCTATTTACCTGTTACTAAGTTCAGGCATCTTTGTGAGCTGCTGTAATTGTTTTCGGGGGGAGGGGAAAGAGGTGGACAGAGGAAGCTGAGTAATAAACACTTCCTCTTTGGAATTTCTTCTCGCTCTCTCATTTATCAGCTTTTTGCTTTTATAGTTTTTCCTTTCCTCTTCCATTTTCCCCTTTAATTTTAACACATTCCACTTGGTTCTCCTTAAAATAGAGGAGTGTGAAGCTTGCTGTCTATGAATAGGAGCCTTAACTAGAAGATCCAACCTTAGGGTCATATTGCATTTTTCTCTGTTATCTTCCAGAGAATAAAGCTGAAACTGAAGCCCCAGAGGAACTGGATCAGCAAGGGCTTGGGACTTTCCTGGAGAGAACAGGACACACAGCACCTTTACTTGGACGTCCAGCATGCTCTGGAGACCTGCCACACCCACCGCAGGGCCCCTTGTTTCCTACCACAATAGGCTTGTGCCACCTCCAGGGAGTGCACCAGACGTGAAATCACTGAGCTACTGACCCACCTGACCCTCTTCCTTCTGCAGTGCCCTCCCCAAGGGGCAGATAACCTCCTTTCTACTCTCTGCATGGACACTGTGGTCCAGGTGTCTCTTCTTGCCACAGACAATGACAAGTCTCCCGCCTGGGACCTCGTCTTCATTCATGCTCCTCTTTATCCACCCATTTCTCCAGCCCTACTCCTGCTGTAGGTGGCCTGGATGAAGTTTTCTTAGACAATGTGGGCTCTCTGGGAGGAACAGGTATGGCACCATGTACACCTCAGGACAATCTAAGCATGACAACTGGGCCCCTCCTGGTTGGCCTGATGCTGGCACAGCCAGGAGCCAGGGTCTTACCTCATCACTTGGGTCATAATACTGCTCCAGATATGGGTGGGCCAGAGCCTGTTCTACCTCAATCCTCTTGTGAGGGTTGAATGTCAACATTTTGTCCAGTAAATCCAGAGCTACAAAGAGAAAGGTTTTGAAGTGGTGAGGAGTCAAAGGAATAGTCACTGAAATACCTTCCATGTCCTGTTTAAGCAAAGTGACCCACAAAGCAGTCTAGCTAAGCAGCACCATGGGTGCCTGCTGTGTCTCTGAACTTCTTGAGACTGTGACCATCTGACATTTGCAAACTCAAGCTCAGGAAGGTGACACCATCAGCCAAAGGCTGAAAGTAGAAGACCAGATTCAAACCCTAGCCTGCCTACAAAACCTTACTTTCTCTAAGTCACTACCCTGCAGGTATCAAAAGCAAAGGTTTTATGTATGCACTTCTCAAGTCAACTCCAAAGTCATTTTTGCAATGGTTAGTTTATCTTTCAACATACAGAAAAGGCCTCCAAGGTAAGAGAATGAAACGGAAGCCTCCTCCTTCCAGGTCCTGCTTGAGTCACGTGAGGCACAGCCCCCACGCCCCAGCCTACTCTGGAGCACCCTTCTCTAAGGCCCCAAACATCAAGTATGCTCTCAACCTGCAGGTGAACATTCTTTTCATGTCGAGAGTGCAGCAATAGGAATCAAGTGTGGGATCAACAGGAACGAGATGGAGCAGGAGGCCACTGAATGGCTCACCCTGATGACATCTGTAGCCAGCATCCCGGCACCACCTCAAGCCTGAGGACAGCCAAAGGCATGGCTAACGTGGTTAGACAAGCATTAAGGGAAATGTGATGAACACTTCCTGTGTTTAGTCTCAGGAGTAGGTTTCAATGAGAAAGACTACATGGTACAATACATTACTGTTCTGGTACAGAGGGGGAAAAGGGGGCTGCTTTGAAGAATGTCCCCATTTATTTATTTTCTTTCTTTTTTTATTAAGTTATCACTGATAGACACTCTTATGAAGGTTTCACAAGAAAAACAATGTGGTTATTACATTTACCCTTATTATCGAGTCCCGCCATACCCCATTGCAGTTACTGTCTATCAGTGTAGTAAGATGCCACAGAGTCCCTATTTGTCTTCTCTAGGCTACACTGTTCTCCCCATGATCCCCCCCCACACCATGTGTGCCAATCATAATACCCCACAATCCCCTTCTCCCTCCCTCCCCACCCACCCTCCCCCACCCCTCCTCTTTGGTAACCACTAGTCCCCTTCTTGGAGTCTGTGAATCTGCTATTTTGTTCTTTCAGTTTTGTTTCGTCGTTATACTCCACAAATGAGGGAAATCATTTGGTATCTGTCTTTCTCTGTCTGACTTATTTCACTGAGTATAATACCCTCTAGCTCCATCCATGTTGTTGCAAATGGTAGGATTTGTTTCTTTCTTATGGCTGAATAGTATTCCATTTTGTGTATGTACCTCATCTTCTTTATCCATTCATCTACTGATGGACACTTAGGTTGCTTCTGTATCTTGGCTTCTGTAAATAGTGCTGCAATAAACATAGGGGTGCATATGTCTTTTTGAATCTGAGAAGTTGTTTTCTTTGGATAAATTTCTAGGAGAGGAGTTCCCAGGTCAAATGGTATTTCTATTTTTAGTTTTTTGAGGAACATCCATATTGCTTTCCACAATGGTTGAACTAGTTTATATTCCCACCAGCAGTGTAGGAGGGTTCCCCTTTCTCTGCATCCTCGCCAGCATTTGTTGTTCCTAGCCTTTTCAATGCTGGCCATCCTAACTGGTGTGAGGTGATATCTCATTGCGGTTTTAATTTGCATTCCCCTGATAATTAGTGATGTGGAGCATTTTTTCATGTGCCTGTTGGCCATCTGAATTTCTTCTTTGGAAGTGTCTGTTCATATCCTCCACCCATTTTTTAATCAGGTTATTTCCTTTTTGGGTGTTGAGGCACGTGAGTTCTTTATACATTTTGGATGTTAACCCCTTGCTGGATTTGTCATTTACAAATATATTCTCCCGTACTGTAGGATGCCTTTAGTTCTGCTCATGGTGTCCTTTGCTGTACAGAAGCTTTTTAGCATGATGTAGTCCCATTTGTTCATTTTTTATTTTGTTTCCCTTGCCTGATGAGTGTGTTCAGAAAAAAGTTACTCATGTTTATATTCAAGAGATTTTTGCCTATGTTTCCTTCTAAGAGTTTTATGGTTTCAGCACTTACATTCAGGTCTTTGATCCATTTTGAGTTTACTTTTGTGTATGGGGTTAGACAATAATCCAGTTTCATTCTCTTACATGTAGCTGTCCAGTTTTGCCAACACCAGCTGTTGAAGAGGCTGTCATTTCCCCACTGTATGTCCATGGCTCCTTTATGGTATATTAATTGACCATATAAGCTTGGGTTTATATCAGGGCTCTCTATAGTCTGTTCCATTGGTCTATGGGTCTGTTCTTGTGCCAGTACCAAATTGGCTCGATTTCTGTGGCTTTGTAGTAGAGCTTGAAGTTGGGGAGTGTAATTCCCCTGCTTTATTCTTCCTTCTCAGGATTGCTTTGGCTATTTGGGGTCCCTATGAATTTTAGAACAGTTTGCTCTAGTTTGTTTAAGAATGTTGTTGGTATTTTGATAGGGATTGTATTGAATCTGTAGATTGCTTTAGGCAGGACTGCCATTTTGTGAATGTCCCCATTTATTTAATGATGTTCAGAGTAGTAGTTTTCAAGTTAAACAGCAGGTCCTCTCTTCAACACAGAGCACATAAGGCGCCACCCCAGCCTCCCCTTAAGTCCTAGTTCACAGCCTTGAGGCACCCTTGAGAGAACCAAAGACTCCAAGGAACAAGCCTGCACATCCGCTCCAAGGCTGAAAAAATACCAGACAGTATAAATATACATTTTCAGAGACCAGTATACAAAAACAAAAGAAGAAAACAAACCCTACCATTTGCAACCACATGGATGGAGCTAGAGGGTATTATGCTCAGTGAAATAAGTCAGGCGGAGAAAGACAAGTACCAAATGATTTCCCTCATCTGTGGAGCATAACAACAAAGCAAAACTGAAGGAATAGAACAGCAGCAGACTCACAGACTCCAAGAAGGGACTACAGGTTACCAAAGGGGAGGGGTGGGGAGGGAGGGAGAAGGGGACTGAGGGGCACTATAATCACAACACACAATATTGGCAGGTCACAGGGACGGCAGTACAGCACGGAGAAGACAAGTAATGACTCTACAGCATCCTACTCTGCAGATGGACAGTGTCTGCAATGCGGGGGTGAGGACTTGACAAGATGGGTAAATGCTGAAACCACTATTGTTCAGGTGAAACCTTCCTAAGATTGTATATCAATGACACTTTAATAAAAAAAAATGGACACTGGCACCTACTCGATGAAGCCTTGCTTCTTATAGTGATAATTTCATATTAGGTTATATCAACCCCATCCAACTACAAATTAACTCTAAGCCCTAAGAGTAGAATAGGATTTAGTTATTTACTCACTGAGAAAATGTGTTTGTCTCTTGAGAGCAGCAAGCCAGTCCACCTCCTGAGTGACTGCTCGTGTGCCAGGAAGTCAACCTGAGTGGCTGCAAGGGCTGTGTGTGTGCGTGTGTGTGCCCCCAGCTCTGGCTCCCGCCTGCTGCTTCCCTTGCTGCATGTTACCCCCTTCATCTCCAAAACAATCAGGAGATGATCAGAATGGCAAACCATGTTGGATGTAAAGATAAATTCCACAAACACAAATAACTTTGGTCATGTCTATACAGTGAACTGTAAAAAACAGTATTTTTTTTTTTGAGAGGGCATCTCTCATATTTATTGATCAAATGGTTGTTAACAACAATAAAATTCAGTATAGGGGGGTCAATGCTCAATGTACAATCATTAATCCATCTCAAGTCTAATTCTCGTCAGTCTCCAATCTTCTGAAGCATAACGAACAAGTTCTTACATGGTGAACGAATTCTTACACAGTGAATAAATTCTTACATGGTGAACAGTACAAGGGCATTCATCACAGAAACTTTCGGTTTTGATCACGCATTATGACCTATAAACAATCAGGTCAAATATGAATATTTGAAAAACAGTATTTTTTTAAAGCACATATAATTTCTATGAACAGTACATTCTCAAATCTGCTTTTTCTTCTGTCTATAATCTTTTGAATACACTCACAAGTGTACCTTAGTAATTAAGGAATAGTGACATTTTGCTTTATAGGCTAGAGAACTTTTTCGAAAAGAGAAAGCTCGTAGGAATCTAGACGTGTTGGCCTTGACCGAAGCACCAGGGCAGGTCACTCCTGCAGCTGTGACTTGGGGCATTAGGGGCTCATAGAAGGGCTAGGATTCAGAGGAGTTCTCTCAAGGCTTAGGACAGTACAGCACAATGGTCAAGAAGGTGGGCACCTCTGGCCCAAATCCAAGTCCCACAGAACACCTGGCAGACGTGTGAGCACTGGATGCACACATTGCTGAGATCACCAGTCTTATTATCTGTAATACAGGTCATAAAGCAGAACTCATTTTCTGCTCCCAACCATCTCCTGCAAAGAGCTCAGACATTTCCCCAAGGACTTTCCTGAAAGGAAATTCGAAATCGTTTGGCCTTTTGCCCAATTAGACTCTGCCAGTGTCAGCAAAGTTCAGGAGGGCCTGGCCACAGTCATATTCTAACAGCATTATTTCTAAACTGCTGGGGGCACTTTTCCTCTCCAGATCTTGTTGGTATTAAGCAGGGAAGCACTTTAAAGCAACTGATGTTTTACTGGTTAAGCATTTCTAAAACATCTTTCAGCAAGTTCAATTCTAGACCCTTAAAACTTCAAGGCAAAAATTTCAAAGACAGCTCTTTTATCTACTTGAAATGTAACTAGACCTCCAGCCTCCTTTTACTGCAAATGCTATTTCTGCATTTCTCACAGCTACAGAAGAGGAAAGGGAGAGAAATGGAAAGCAGCTGGCAGGTGCTGATGCCATGGCGAGAGTGCCTGGCCTCCCTCCTCCACGGCACACAGCAACTTGCTGGCACCACTCAGAGGGCAGGAATCACACTGCCCGTACATATGCTCCCTCGGAAGTCCCTGTGAGGCTTGGATTACATCTGATC